GAATGAGAATATATACAACCAGGATTTAACTTATCATTTCTAGTCTTAATATAAAAAGATTAAATACAATATACTTTGCTGGAGGTCGATGTAAATGTGCAAAAACAGAGGGTTAGCCAGATGTTACTGAGGCGATGGACAAAGACACATCTGACACTTTTAATTTGTAATAATATTTGCCCCTCATTGCAGCGAGTGCAAACGTCTGCAACGTGGTGCTCATGAGACACTCGGAGCTGTCGGAGGGCATCAGCGTGCTCGATGAGCACGGGAACGTGGTGGGAACGTCCAAAGTGGCCGCTAGGCATGTACGTCGATCACCTCCAGTTCTGTCTATCAGATGTGAAATCTTCATGTGTTTGTTTGTTATTTAATGACTGATGCAGCATAGAGCTACTTTGACTGATGAGGTGTTAGGTGTCATAGTGAACACATAATAAAATGTTTTCTCTTTTTTTTGGTCGTGGCAGGCTCTTTTAGAAACCGCTCTGACCAGAGTGGTCCTCCCCATGCCCATCCTGGTCTTACCTCCCATGATCATGACTGCACTGGAAAAGTAAGAGGCCGCCTTGTTTTTATATTTCAGTACCCGTAAAAGACTGTCCTTCACACACACACACACACACACACACACACACACACACACACACACACACACACACACACACACACACTCAGCATGACAAACCAAAAAAAACAAATGTCCCATCATTTAATTTCAAAAACCTAATAATACATTTAAAAAAAGTGTAATATCTTTGACTATATCACCCTATCAGATTGCTAAATCCTGAGTCGCTGCTGCTGTCGGTGAACCGCGTCCTCGCTGAGATCCAGCGTTGTGTGATAAGACCGTAATGATGTCTTAATGATGTGTTTATACTTACGTCCCGTGATCGATGGCCTCACTGTGCCTGCGGTGTGTCGAGGAATGCAGCCATCTTTATAAATCCTTGACAGCACTTGTCCCGACCGCTCCGAGGCAGGCGGGCTCAGGCAGCGAGGCCCTGTTGCCCAGGTGTGTTTTGGGATTCCTGGCAGCTGGTGACTGAACGGGGGGGGGGGGGGGGGGGTTGGTGTAAATATGAGGCTGTGAGCTGGACTGTGGCTGCAGGTGAGAAGTGCTCAGCTTTCCTCTCTGTCAGCTTACCTTCAGTGGCTCTCAATGGAGCGAGAACAAGGGGACATAGATGGGTCTCTGAGCGGCCCCTCAGTGATGGATTGTGTTGCTGAGAGCAGATTTAGGGGCAGTGACAGCAGGTTCTGTCCTTCACGTGCTTCAGGAAGTGTTTGAGGCTGCACACAGAGTAAGTGTGTACGGAACATTTACGTTTTGTTACTTAAGCTCTGACTTCCTTCTGGAGAGTTTTCAATTCAGCCTAGAGACCAAAGTTAACATCCAATAGCTTCTGATTATTTATGTGTCTGTTGATATGTGTGCGTATTTTAAACCATTGAACAAACACAGTATCTATCTAAATAATGGCTTCATCTGCTGTCGACAAACAAACACTTTTTGTCACATTTTCATGCTCATAATCACCCCCACCTCCTTTGCGAGGTGTTTGATTAGTGTAGAAATTAGAAACCTGCTTCACAGATTAATTGTCCCTGCTCACATAGCTCCAAACACACGCTGCAGCCGGCTCTGCAAGACAACAAAAAAACCTGCAAATTGTCAAACAAATGTCCTAAAGCAACACAGTTCATTGTGTTCTACAGTTGTCTTGCTGCCTTCATGTTTGATAAACTCACATTTAGCAACTCTAGAAAAAATTATTTGTGCAGCTGGAAACACTACAGCTGTTATTTCTTTTGGGAAATTACCAAATGCAGTGTTGTGTCAGAGTTGTTCATTGGCTGAGCGTTTCTGTCAGACACAACACGAGTCAGCGGGGAGATTAAATTAATTGGTCTTTCTCTGTGCTTAGGGAGGCTCAGTCAGGGTGTCAGAGGTTCATGTAAACAGCTAAACCTGGCTAAGACCTCGACCAGGATGTGGCCGCTCGCCAGTTTGCTCAGTGCACGTTAACACACGCTGCACTTTAGGTCATTAGGTTTGTGTAATATCAAATATTCATATCTGATTTAAAGGTTTTAAAGTATGAACAAACCTTCCTTTTTCACTCTCTTACAACTTTTCTCTCAGACTTTCCTCTTAATAATCCAGTTTTAAGATCTCAAATCTGTGTGTGTGTAGCCTAATTAAACCATGGCAGCCATATGTGTTAATGAGCTCCCTCATTAGGCAGTAGCTCTCCTCGTTAGGGGGAGAGGCGTCGCTGGAGGAGGAGATATGGAACGGCTCTTTCTCCAGCTCCCGCTGAGTTCACTGTCCCGCACACCCAAGAGGGGATTATCCTACAGAGGGCAGCCGGGAGGGAGGGGAGACATGGGCTGAGACCAGGAAATATATTTCTGGAGAGTCCAGTGAATTTGACTAGTGCAAGTTACTATGTCATCAGACATTAAGGAAACATGCTATGTTGAAGTGCTGGCTTCTGTGACAACAATGCAGCAGCCAGTATGTCCTCCTTCTAACTTTAGATTCTGCTCCTGAATGCTCTGGATTTGTTTGGACCAGAGAAGGTAGGCACTTGTAAGGCGACCCCCCCCCCCCCTCCCCACACGGCCGTTTTGGACACCCCTCGGTTTGTCAGATATGAGAGCAGTTATCAGGTCAACAGGTGTTGCAGCGATGGAAGCGGTCAAGAGAAGTGGTTCAGATAGAAGTGATTGTACCCGACCTAAAAAGCCTCTGCATGTTTCTAATAAGCTCCACGAGCAGAAACGTGCTCAAACTAGGATCAATATTGGAGATGCTTTTGAAAAATGGAGAGAGGTTAGAACACAGAAAGGTTTACAGACCCATGCAGAGCTGGATAAACACTGAAGCTTCAGAGTCCACCACATGGTGACCTGAGTGAGCATCCACACTAGAGAGGAGCGGGGGGAGACAGCTCTCTATGATGTTTCTAATTCAGACTGCAGTACCCATTTTAACCCCTAGGTGTCAGAGTTACATATTGCTCCTCCCCCCCAGGCTTCCTCTCCTGCAGAGACAACGGAGGCTCGTCCTGCCCATCCACAGCCTAGTGGTCCTCGCTGCCTTCGGCCTGGCTCTGCCCCTCGCCATCAGTCTCTTCCCACAGATGTCCCAGGTAGGTCATCCCAATAACTCTACTCTACTGCAGAATATGTGTTTCTTCTTCAGCTGCTTTTCCAGCAGAATCAGTTCAGATTGTAACACATAAAAAGTTTTATTCTGTGTTACCCTCTAAAAGTTGTGTGTAGTAACTATGGAAACACCAATAGGACAAGCCACACACACACACACACACACACACACACAGGTGGCTTGTTCATGCATTTGCTTGAACACGTGTGATATGATCTCAGTTCCTGGCTTCACATGCAAATTGACATGGAGCATCATTCACCTTCATCAGCCTTTGAGTATATTCAATCATTAAGACAAACCATGATGCAGTTCAGAAAGTGAGAAATGAACAGTGTGCACAAGTGGGTCTGAAGAGCTGAAGATTATGAACTGAAGTGATGGTCTGGGATTTAGCTCTTAGTTTAATAGCTTGATGCTTTCGTATATTAGATATTGCCATTAACGGCTAACTGATTTAGCATCACGATCACGGTAATTTTAACTTCTGAGACATTATCTATTTTACTAAACAATGTTAGGTAAAAAAAGATCCATCGTCAGTTAAGAGATGTTAAGTTAGGGTGCATTCACACCGGGCAATCTGCACCTTACTCAAGCACCTTTGACCCCAAAGTCAGTCCAGTTTGTTTGACTTGTGTGAGTGCTCTGTGCTGTACACTTGTTTGCTCTTGTAGAGATGGCAGAGGCGGGCTTTGGTACGGTACGCTTGCCCGTGCCACCACAGTAAAAGCAGCTATCCTGATATGGCAGCACCCAAAAACTGGCTGTGGGAATTCATCTATAGTCCACTCTTTTTATAACCCTCAGGCATCAGTTTAATTTACTAGCTTGTTTTCCAAAACTGCTATAAAAATAGAACAGATTGATATTTTAATTTTACTTTTTTTTGCATTAATCTCTTAAACAACTCCAGCCCCGCTCAGAACTATCAAATATTGAATAATTATCAGGAATTTAACCCTTTAAATGCCAGTTTGATTACATGATTCTGGCATTTAAAGGGTTAAATTCCTGATAATTATTCAATGTTTGATCGTGTCAAAGAAGTGTCAAAGAAGTCTGTCATGTGTCATGAGAGAGACTTTCTTACTAAAATGTGTGCCACATGCACTAACACAGCCAAAATGATGGCCAGATAAAGAGGAAACATTTACCCAAATGGACAAAAATGTCCATAATGATGCATGAGGGTTAAATGTCATTGATGCATTAGCTTTGACTTTACACTAACTTTCTGTCGGACTCTGCCTCTCATGTCTAATGACTGATTTTGATGACCGGGGTCGTTTGACCTCTTTTATGTGAGAGTCTCTCTCTCTCTCTCTCTCTCTCTCTCTCTCTCTCTCTCTCTCTCTCTCTCTCTCTCTAATGAGGCGTAGCCCTCTGAGACTTAACCTGCTCTGTTGTGATCTGCCCAGAGTTTCTATTGCCTTCATTCATCGCTGCCATCCATGCTAACAGGCCGAGGATAACTTATTACCTCCAGTAATTTATTTTCACTCTATTTCTTTCTTTGTCTCCTCTCTGCCAACTGACTCTTTGACACCAGCCAACCAGCTCTGGCTTTACAATGTTTAGGATTTAATTACCGCTGAAATATCTCAGACAGCCATATGGCAGAAAACTTCAGACATATGTGCCGCCAACAGTCCTGTGAAAAGCGGGCCTGTTTTCTTCTCACAAGTCCTTTTTTTGCACTTTCGCAAGAAAAGCAGACAGAAAAAAAAAAACAACATCTCCCCAAAAAAGCAACATGAATGCCCTGTTCCCCCGGACCCCCCGCCTACTCAATTTGTCCCACTTCCCCGTTTCACACCTACCAAGATGTCTGATTAAGATTCTGCCTCCGACGCCGACAGCCATCTGTCTCTAGTTCAAATATTAGGAGATGCAAACCTCAAATTAGACTTTAATCTGCCAAATTGGCTCTTTGCACATTAGAAGTAAATAGGAACATTTGAAGCTTTTAAGAAATACTTAGTTAGAAATGAAATCTTTGAGTAGTAGCTCCTCTATATGACGACCATGTTTACGTTCCATCTTTCACGCCAAATATCTCCATTTTGCACGATTGACCTTTTTTTTGATCCCCCACAGATCAGTGTGAATGAGCTGGAGCCAGAGATTGCCATGGCAACCGACTGTAAGATTGTGACATACAACAAAGGTCTGTGAGTGATCTCTGCCCACCCGACACATGAAGACGGGACCCCGCTGCTCGTCGCTGTGCAGACCCCCGCTGCGGCTGCCAGAGGATGAAGGATGGTAAATGTGTCTGTGAGCAGTTAGCATATGTTTACAGGAAAGGGTTCATCATGACAATACATTTTGTTTATTTAGAAATGGTCCCACAGGATGACATGCTGTGTATATATATATATATATATATATATAAGATATAAAACTGACACCTGACAAAGAAGGAAAACCAAATACCTGCGGCCCTCAAAAAAAAAAAGATTTAGAAATGACTTTGTTTAATCCATCTTGCTTGTGTGCTAAAGATGCTAACAGCTGGAGGACTAAGGCTGACCTGTTGGGTTCGGTTTAAGTGAACTCGAGTCCATTTGCCAAGTTAGTGCCGCTCGTTTGCGCTGGTGTGAAAGCTGTCAATCAAACCCTGGTGCGGACCAAACAACCGTACAGAGAGCACTTTAAAAAGAAAGTGTGACTCTGTTTACTTTCTAGTCTAAAACCTGCTGCGTTCACACATCAGCTCGTCTCGACCTCACTGACTTTTTTTTAGGAGGATGACAGGTTCAAGTCTGCAGTTGATTGTTTGTGTTCACAGCCCTTCTGGACAATGCCATAAAATAAATTCATGATTGTAGTTCACATATTATACTCCATGCTTTTCAGCTTTTTATTTTAAGCTGAGTCTTGATACAGGTTTTATTTGATTGTGTATCAGGGACCGTTAAATTTGCACTGATGCACAGACTGTTGTCACGGTGATTTCAGACTTTTTGTGCAGACAGTCAGGAGAAAAGTCCTGCAGTCTGTGAATCTGCTTGTGGCGATACAACCAAAATATCAATCATGCCAGAAAATCATACTACCTGGCGGGAGCAGCTGATTGGACCATAATTTGGCTGTCATGCCTCAGTGTACATTGCACCGCTGACGATGTCATCGTCGGGCTGAAGTTTAGCCAAGACGAAGCAGGAAGTACCTGAATGAATGTGATTAGGATTGAATGTGTTGATAATGTGAATTCAGTTTAAATAATTAAACTGTGAATTTTTTTTCTATATGTGATATAATGCAGAGATTTAATACTTTAAAAATACAATTATTTCAGATTGTTTAATACGGATACTTACTACAGGTTTTATTAAAACGAGGCTAAAGAAGAGTCAGGCACATTCTCATACTTTTCTTAATCAGGATTGTTGTTGTTGTAATCTGTTTCACAATCTGAGCGTGTGTAAACAAAACCTTACTCTTATGTCAACCATCTCGTCGTGCCTTTACCTAAAAAATAAATCCATTGAAACTCATCTTTCATGTTTTTTTGTTTTTAATACCACTAAATGTGTTTTAAATAAATGTTAGTCCCTGTATGGGGGGGAGGGGGGAGACAGCTCTCTATGATGTTTGGAATTTAGACTGCAGTACCCATTTTAAACACTAGGTGTCAGAGTTACATACTGCTCCTTTAATCAGGCAGAATATGTTTATCTTCTGGATTAGTTTCTTCTGTATCTGAAGTTGTGATAAATGAATAAATAAACTGCTGAATTCATCACAGTCAGGATAAATCTGTAAAAATGCCGCCCCTTGTCTTTGTGTTTGTTTTTTGGAACTTGATTTATTTCAACTTTCTGTCTTCCAAGTGTTATCTTTTGTCACGATCTTTGTCATTAGTATGTTTGTTGCACGGTTGTCGGGGAACGCAACACTGCAGGCAGGTAATCCGACAAGATGCCACATGCAGGATCGACGGAGGATGCTGGTGGAAGTTGTGACACATGAACGAGGTGAGACAAATAAACTAAACTTAAAGTCATCCCAAGAAAAACATCAGGTTTTGTTTTATTTTTTCTTCTGCAGTTTTATCTCATGTTATCAGACATCGACATCATCTGTTTTGTGTTGGACAATGTCACCTGTTTCCCATGTCCTGGGATATTTTAAATCTGCTTCAGCGTTTTGGAAATACGTTCTCGGTTTTAGTACTTTTTGTTTGAGTAAACTCTGAAGAAGAAATGTTCAAAATAAGATGATTCCAACTTTTCCAGTTTGAGGATTACACCTTTTGTTCAGTGTTTTTAAGATTACCTGGGACACAAACTTCTTCCGTTGAAGCTCTCGCCTCTGGCTCTGAGGAAACAACACTGACTTTTTACAGCTTTTAATTAATCAAATTGTGTACTTGAGAAATCATCAGCAGATTAATAAGTGTCGACATTACTCACTAGTTTCATCCCCGAACAATTCAGCGTCTATCATCAGATAAATATCCATTTGAGTTTGGTTTAATCATCAACACATTTGGTGAAGATGGTTTTTTTTGCATTTCGAGATTCATGGATTTCATGTTTGCTTCTTGTGTCAAAACTTTTAAAGGGAAACACATTTTTAAATAACACAGCTTAATTGTCAGTCATCTTGAAAAGAGGTAAAACAACCGTCTTTATTCTTCAGTCATTTTTCAAATCTGTGCGCCATCACTTATGCAAAGTGACTACTGTGACCACGCTGCATTATTTATCACTCAAATCGAACAACAAAGCGTGCGTCGTTTGGAGTGTGAGCTGAGAGAAATAGACTTTAGTCATTCTACATAAATACAGAAATCAAACGACAATGATCACATTCCCTGCCGCTGCGGCCGGGGACAATCTGCTCCTCTGGGTGGACTTGTGTTGATTTCCTGCTCTCACCCTGAAGTCTCCTCTCTGCTGACTCAGGCGGAGGGAGACGGGCGTGATTTTTTACTCTTCATTATTTTCCTGAAAGACAAATGAAGTGTGCAGCTCTAGATAATCATGCTGACCTTTTCCCTCACCGAGCTGTGATTTCACATTTCCAGTGCCGTGACTGTCAGAGAGAGCTGCTCTCCACACCTTTTGAGGTTGTTTATCTGGAGGAAAAGGAATGTCCAAACTGTCTTTAACATGCATTTTGCACCTGCAGTGAGTATAGGGTATCCTGGAAACTCAAAACAAGGCATGTGGCCCCTTTTTGCAACTGCAAATGTCTGATGTATTCTTTGTAGATGGTGAGTCTCCTGCAGTGCGTTTCTGAGCTTACAACAAAACACAACATGAGGGTCAGACGTCAGCCTCGAGGTCAGGAGAGGGGGGATTCTTTCCGTTTCTTTTGACAGGTGATTACTGAGTCATTTGTTGAGAGAACTGCTGCACAATAATCACTACTTTCCCCTTTTTTTTCCACAGGTTGCAACCCTCTGGATGGGAATTAGTTCTGTGCTTCCCCCCCCCTTTACTGGAATTCAAAGGACACACAGGCTGATGGGTAACACACCTGGCATCTGTGCAACTGTCCTTCAACATTCAGAGAGCCGTCAAAAAGTTTGTAAGAATATTTTTTGCAGTGTCTTGATACAAACTGTCATTTTTCTCCTCACATTCTTTTGGGAAATTAAGCAGTTTTTGACTCATTTTAAAGCAAACTTGCTTAAGGTGAAATTCTTCATGTGCTGTGTGGGGGTTTCAAGAGTCTGCAGAATTTCCTTCAATCAAACACCACAGCAGCATGTTTCACACTGATCTGCACATGCATGAATGAACTAATGGGAGAAAATGTGCAGGTGTAACAGCTGGCTCAATGACAATCCTGCAGACTCTGGAGGACATGATGTTCAAAGTGGGCGCCCGAGTCACACAATAATGCTAACGTTTTCACATGAGGGGAATAGTTTTTTGTTTTTATTTCTAAAGCATCTTCTTGTAATTACACGTTCTGCTTGAAAAGTATGTTCTCATGTTTTGTTTGCGCACACAGCGCTTGATGAAATCTGCAGAAATTCAACAAAATGAACACGTCATCCATCACAAGTCCACTCTGTAAGAATGTGGCAGAAGAAGAAGAAGAAGCACAAAGCTGTGAAGTCGCCCTGAACAGCAGAGGGTCTCTGCCGCTCCTCATCTGTCCCGGAGTCATGCACAGCTGCTCGTGAATCGCCTCTTCATTAGGAGCCGTAACAGAGCACAGACAGTCCACTTCCTGCTTTGTTCCCCACGCTCGCTGGGTGGATTCAAAGTGTGCGACATGTTCCCGTCATTGAGGAGAAATTTAAATTAACACTGTACACAGGTGGCGAGGAGGGTGTGGTGAGCAATGAGGTGTTAATGACCGAAGCAGGTGGTTAAAAAAAACAAAAAAAACAGCTCTAATTAAACAAACAGCCTCTTTCAAAAACAACCTTTTTAAAGTGGCTTATGTACAATAAAAAAAAAACTAACAAGCACAATGATGGAGGGTGATGTGGTTTCTCTTCATCCTTGGTCACACACACCAAAGATCTTAAATAATGGAAGGATGTCTCCTCATCCTGACGACGGATATTTAAATAAGATGTTTGTTTCCCAGTTTTAGAGTCCAGCACCTCCATGAAAAGATGTGCAGTGATCATGTGTAGTCTCTTCCTCTAATGCGTCTAATTATACTTAATAATAATAATATTACATAATAAATAGTGTTGGTCCTTTGAAGGGTCTGTGGGGTGTTTTTTTTTTTTTTTTTTTTAGTCCTCTGAGGTCACGTCGATGTCCTCGGAGCTGGCCTGCTTAGTGGCGAGCCGCCATCTGTTGATGTGGTGGTTTCCCTTCTTCTTCTGCTGGCTCTCCGGTCCCTCCTCCTCCAGCTTCTGGCGCTTGTACTTGGTCCGCCTGTTCTGGAACCACACCTTCACCTGGTGAGGAAAAACAAACAGGTAAAGGATGAGGATCTCTGTCACAGACTGTTGAGAGGCCCCGGGAGGTCAAAGTGTTCTCGGGTTCAAAGTCAACACGCTGAAGACATTTCTCCAGTTGGAAAATGAACTATTGAAACATCTGTTATCAACACCACGACTACTGATTTTTATCTTCTGAATATTTCCTCAAATAATCAATGAATAGCCTCTTTTTTTAAACTGCAAAATGGCATAAAAAAGCTAAATTTCCTTAAATATTTAGGTTGAATCTTTAAATGATTTTGGGTTTATTTCTGACTAAAGAAAACCCAAATATATTGAGTTAAAAATATTTCAAAACAGACAACTGCAGCACATCTTTGCATGCAAAAAGCTGCCACAAAAAAAGAAATTAAAATGATTGTGACCCGAGCTGATTACAGGAGCTTTTGGCCGGTTGGTTTCAGCATCAATTCTCTTGACAATTTCAAAGTGTCTTCTCACTTCATGAGGAGCCTTTACCAGATGTCACAGTACAAAGAAAAATGACTTTCACACCTCATGACTCCCTGTAGTTCAATATATACAGTATACCCTCTAAAAGTGCACGCTTAAATCCTATTTTTTACTGTATTTAAAAACTCCAATGCACTGATCCCTAAAACATTCTTCAGTCTCTTAAACCGCACAGGTTCACACTGAAGTTTGTCCCCCTGCTTTTTATATCACCCAAGCATCTCCTTTGTAAATGATAAAGTATTCAATCAATAAACGGTCACACACAACCTCTCTCAGCATGAAAGGTGCAAAACATGTATGCACAGGAAGGGACAACATGCGAAAGAGCTTCCTGACTAACTAGCGTCTCCAGTTTGACCTTGGAGTATCAGCCTGGCTCATGTATATATATATACACTGTATATTTATATATACTGCCAGTCTGCCTCTTTGAAAAAGCAACACTTGTATTAGCTTCCTGTTGCCTCTTGAGGCTTTGGGTTTATTTCACAAATAAGAAACTCTTTTCACAGAATTTCCAGAACCTTTTTTAGTATTTTGGTCGGTGCTACTAAAGGAAGATTTTTAACAACAGAACTGAAATGTGAAAGTAACCACAGAGAAGATGTAGAATTAATTACACAGCATTTACTTCCTTCACAGTTTGACATCTCCTCCTGCTGAGTGTAGGAATAATGCTCTTTACATAAACCATGACTCCCTCCAAGTATTTTTACAGGAGCATGAGATATGTGACTCCTGGTATCTATCAGTCCTTTTTGTTTTTATGATACAAAGCAGCAATCTTTGCTCTTTGCTGCTGTAACAATGTAAATTTCCACATTGTGGGCTAAATAAAGGATTATCTTATCTTATCTTAGCATTGAAACAGGATTCACTGTGAATTAAAACCCAGCTTGATGTCATCATGATTAACATCATGCAATGCTTCATGGTAAGCACCTTATAGACGCAACATTTAACATTTACGCTGACTTAGGAAACATCTTTAATATTGCCTTTTAGGCCTAATTGACTCCCAGATATTGTGCACTCATCACATTTAACCGTCAATAATATTTACACTACTTTATCCTGAAGCAGGAGTTTATTATCTTCCAGTAAACAATGATACTGACTGTGTTGCATCCCAAGGTGTTGTGGCTAAGGGAATTACTGAAATAAGAATGCACTGTGTTTATTATAAAACATGCTTTAACAGCAACTCTCATCAACTATGCTGCAATCAGTAGATCTGATAATTCTGATCATTAATATAAAATATGTCTGAGGAAGAAGACATGCCCGCACACTTGATCAAATGCCACAAAAAGTTTGAATTCCTCAAGTTGAAATGTTGTGATTGTGAATTAAAATATTTTTTTTGCCTTTGAGTAAGTGTGCGGCCGGTCTACAGTCTGCTCTTCCCTGCACCTACATGATGTGTGTATATCTACCTCCTTTTTCTTTTTACTAAAGCTAATGCAAAAGAATTAGACCCTGTACATTTATATTTTCTAATCTAATTGTGGTACACACTCATATTTTTTGTTGCAATATTTTATTGCTGATATGCTCTACAATGCTCTAGATAAATTAGTGATAATCAAATTAACTGCAGTTTGTTTTCACACCTAAATCATTTTAAAAATAGGTAATTACCAATAGACTTATCAAAAACTTAAAACACGCTGAAAAAATAAATAAATATCTGATTTAAATCAAGTTAGCATTTCATAAATTTACTGTTTACACTGCTGATATGAGGTTGGTGTTATTATGTTAATGTGCTAGGACATTAAAGCTTTGAACTAGATTTAATTTTCGATTAATATCAATTTCCATAGTGTTGATATTTATGGAGTAAATAAAGCCTTACTTTTTGTTTATTTTTTTATTTTTTAAAATCTAAAATTATTGTGTTTAAAACCGGTAGGTTAATTGACGACACATTGACACGTTATTTTCATTCAGTCAATTAAATTACGCTGTAATGGCAAATTTTAACATGCTCAAAATACTTGCACCGTTCTTGAATTCCTCAACAAATAATGAAGAATTTTATGAAGATCTCGCGATATTCGACGGCAGAGAGAATTTCAACAGTTTTAATTCTGGACTGTAACGGTAAAGAATGTTGTCGCCATGGAAACGGTGGTTTCAGTTAAACTTCTAAACGAGTTTAAATTAAAAGATTAAAAATGACAGTTTTTGGAATTATTTAAGTACTTCGGGGTAAGTCGTGTATTGTAGATAAATTACAAACCAGGTAAAAAAAAAAAACAATAAAAAAACAGTACATTATGTAGCTAGCTACCATGAAGTGAACGGAGGCTACCTGTGTTTCAGATAAACTCAAGCCGTTCGCCAGCTGCTTCCGCTCGGCTCCGACGACGTAGTGGTTCTTCTCGAAGGCTCTCTCCAGGCGGAGGAGCTGCGAGGGCGAGAAGGCCGTCCGGATGCGTTTGGGTTTCCTGGCGAACGGACCGTGGAGGAGCAGGCTGTCCTGGGACACATCGTTACCTGACAGCGAGAGGAAGGTAAGATTGTTTTATAACACCTGAGACTGAACACTGCGGGGGGTCGACACTTTACTTTTTACAAAACAGCGAAATTACAACTCAACAAAGCAGAATTATTCTGTGCTATTCATTTTCTGAATGGTTAAACTTAATTTTTCATACATAACAACAACAATTAAATAGCCTAATAAATAAATATGTGAATAAATAAGGCTTAATAATAACCTAATAAATAATACAAATAATTATGTGAAATAATAGTGCTTAATAATAGCCTAATAAATCCGTTTTTATTATTTTACAACTATCCTAGTATAAATGTACTAATTGAAAACGTTTGCAACACAATTCAAAGATTAAAAAAGCAGTTTTGTCTATCACATAGTTGACAGAAAATGACCTTTTGTTGAGGCTCAGTAACAAACAAACATTCACACTAAGACATTCTTTAAGACATAAAATAGCACAAAATACGTGAAACACATTTACAGCATTTTACAAATATTGCTTATCTAGCCTTGTTTAAATGCGTATTGCAGTGGGATTAAATAGTTTCTGTAAGTTTTCTTTTTTGCTAATGGTGCTGCCTGAGGGGAGCAGCTGTAATGAGCGGTGAGGGGGGGTTGGAGGGGGTTGGAGGGTCCCGAGTGATGCAGACTGCTTCCCTGTCTGCTGCTCGCATGTAAAGTTCTGCTAGGTGGATCTGGGTGGTGTTGCCGGTGATTTTTGCTGCATGTTTAATGATACCAGTGAGTGTTTTTCATTAGTGAGGCGACATAATGATGACACAATTACACCGTTTATTAGACCGATATTTCCGGTTGAATAATTCTCTATTGAAAGATAGATACCCTTCATTTTTTAAAATAAAATAGCTGATTTGTTTGAATAAGGAAAACAAAGTATTTCAAATGAATTTAGTTTTAAATTAAAATTAATTAATTTAATAAAATAAGGGTCCTCAAACTACAAGACAATTACATTTGCACGACTCCTGGAGGAGCATCAATGTGTGCATTTTATTATTATTATTATTTTGTAATTTCATTATTGTGTATTTGAACGTTACAGGCTAATTTAAGATTTAGTCATGCACATATACTCTTTGCCAAATATTACAATTCTAGCAAACAGTGGTTATAATTATTGCAAATTTAATTAAAAATGCATAACATTTAATAAACCATCATGTTTATTTTATGATGTGATACTCTTTATTATCCTCTTGGAGATATTTGTCTTTGACTCAAAGTGCTGCCAAACATTCAGCTGCTTCCTTTAGAATCAATAAATAAAAACCAATAGAAAAGCACAAACACATGTAAACAGAAAGGCACACACCAATTCAAAACAACACAAAACATACTGTACAAGATCTGCAAAAACACAGCGTGAGAGATGCAAAGGTAAGAAAATACAAAAACATATCGGACCACCATGACACAACCTTTAACTTAGAAATACAACAAATACAGATTAATATTTATATCTATACCATGAATAATTAACTGACAATTTGATAAACACTCATCCAGAAACACTTCCTGTTGTTTTTTCACGAAGGTGTAAAAATGTAAAATAAATTGTATTTACTTTGTTATAAAAAAAACTTGGATTTATTCAGAACCGTTTTTAATTTGTAATATATAATAAATATTTATACTATTTATCAATGTCGGTCCTTTTGTATTATGAAGTCCAGCCACAGGGTGTAAGCTACATAATGAGGTATTAATGAATTAATTAGCTGTATGATGGTCATCTTATTTTCATCTAATTTATAAAGTCATAACGAAGATGAAGTCACAGTTTTCTAAATGCTTTGTGAATATCTTATAATATGGTTTGACTTCGCGCGGAGGTGTGTGAGGTAAATAAATCACTGCAGGCTGTGTTTAAATCCTCCGCGTCCTGCTGTAAAACCTGAGCAGGATTTCCTCTTCCATTATACTCAAAATTATCCTCCTGGATTTTATCTGTGCTGTCCTTACAGTCTCGCTATGTGCTCGGGTTTTTTTATATAAAGGATGAAATGAAAAAGGCTGTGTAGCCTCAAGGGCCGAGTATTCTTGTGTGGAAAACATCAGAGCTTATCTTCTCCTGGCTGCGGCCGAGAGAGAGAGAGAGAGAGAGAGAGAGAGAGTATAGCTGCGGGGTGAATGAGAGTGGGAATATGAGAGCAGCCTGCTGAACACCCGGTGGCCTTGTCGTTTATTCTATCTGTGGCTGCAATGTATTGTTCAATATCAACACTTTTACCATGCTCTAAAGTCACCATCTCAGTGAAATATGGAACCCTCTCCAAAGCAATGGTGGACGCATGCTTTTAACTCCAAACATACTTTAAGATAGAGCAAACGCGTGCACTTAAATTACATTTATTCTGTATTTAATGTGCAAAATGTAACCCATTATTAATCTTAAAGCAGATCAATCCGGCACAATTATCCACAATGATTAAAAAAAATAAGTTTGTAAGATGTTAGAACTAATTTTCGTTGTTTTTTAAATGTCATGTTTAGCATCTCCTCTTACCTTGAAATCTGTGTCCAAAAAACCTGTTCCGTAGCACCCAGGGGTAGAAGTTGAGCGGGTCTCGGTGTTGCGTCCCGAAGAAGTGCGGATGCTGGAGGTGTGATCCTCCGAGCTGGTGAGGGGCCACGGTGAGGGAGGGGTGGCTGTCTGGGAACACCAGGTCCGGGGTCTGGTACAGGGAGCGGGCCTGTGGAGCCTGGTAACTGTTCATTAAAGCATCTGTCGCCGGGTTGGAGTAGCTCAGCGCGGTGGGACGGATGGGATCCTCCGGAGTTAGAGGGTTCTCTTTGGCGACCAGAGACTCGATGGTGAAGCAGCGCTTTCCTGCAGACGAGAACATCATCTTTGGACTGAAGAAGAAGAAACCAAAAAACCTTAAAAAACAAAGTTGGAAAAGTTCAAGCCTCCCTCTCAGAGAAGCGTCATGACTAAAGATGAAGGGGTTTTCTTTGAGGGGTGTTTCGCTGCTACAAAACTCAACAGTGCTGCAAATTGCTCTGATCCATGGACTCCGTGCGCACTCGGAGGGATTCTGTGCACAAGTGCGCACCGAAGAAAAAGCGCCTCCAACCTTCAGAGCGCGCGACGGTGCGCAGGGGGGAGGGAGCTGATTGGACCAGAGTACCTGCCAATAGGTCTCCTCAAGTACCTGCTTCATAGATCACACGGGAGCGCAACAGCTTTAGTCACAGAGGCACGCTGAGAAAACATGTGTGCGCCAATTAATGGCTCATTGTGCGTCCTGCTCGGATATAATATCTCGCTTTTCTGTTGGGAAACGATCTCCCGGAGGGGGAGAAACTGGCTCCAGAGCCGGGTCACTCCTTCAGGAGGTCAACTGAAGCAACGATATCTAAAACATGGAAGTAATTACGTCGAGAACATCTACTTCAGTCGTGCAGTTTTTAGTGTTTAAAAGACGTTTTTACTCCCTCATGACAATACAGATTTAAAATAAAATGTGTATTCTTCCCTACACGTCCTTTTAAAGTATATATATGAATTTACTGATAGGTCATTATGCGTTATTCACTCGGGTTTTTAGTGACTCTTTAAGCCCACATTATCATCATTTGCTTGTTATTATTATTGATAATATTCAAAAACAACAATTAACTCAAATCAGGTTAACGTGCTTATTTTTTTTATCTTCTTTTGTCCACAAACACAAACAATTTCTCCCCTAAAAAAACTCCATATTCAGTCAAATGTATTGACTATCTCACACTTTGAATATGTAATCTTATTTATCAGAGTGCACTACATGTTTAATTCGTTTTTTTGTCACGTCCAGTAGGCTGCCTGATGAAGTGTTTATGTGATTGATCCATAACAAACACTATCCCATAATAATCTGTGTTTATTATTCATTTAATGCTCTTAATTAAAAAAGATGGATTGAAATGACGACCTGTAGGATCGAGTGAGTGTGAAGGACGAAAGACAAAAACGTTCCTTCAGGCTTCTTTTTAAAAATGACGTCAGCTTGAATACAAATCCATAAAAAGCAGCAGGTGATACGTGATTATTAAAGATGGATGTAAAGCAGACATGATAAGAAATCATTTCACAGCAATGCAGGACAGCTGTAAGAAAAACGAGAGCAGGAGACAATCATTCAGTTCAGAGGCTTCAGTCCTTTATTGTCCCTGAAAGAGAACCCAACCTGATAGAATACAACCAAGAAATATACAAAATAAGACTGGTATAAATATATATAAATAAAGTGCAGTCAATGATTAAAGAAGATTAAGAGTAGTCATTGCAGGAGGAACATGTGAACATGTGTATCTGCAGCCTGAACCTCCGACCATGAGGGGACAAGGACACATTCCTCCAGGAGCTGGACCAGAGCAGACTGCGGGTCTGTCTCTCCTCTGCGCTGTGCACTGCACGGTGCACTAACCAAGAGAATAATTACCTTCTTAATAAGCTCGTTTGTGAGCAGGCTGCATTAGAAAATCATTACCGATGGAAATTATGAGCTGAAACAAGTTGTTGATTAGTCGTTTAGAGCTAAAGGCTCCTAAAGAGAGCTCCCTGAGAAATAACACTGAATCCTCTCTGCGCTTTCAAAATGTAAAAAAAAAACAAAAAAAAACAATCTGTGTGAATGTTGTGGAAACAGATAAAAATCTGCGTTTATTCAGAGGGTGAGCCCTGAGCTCTTCTAACTGGAATTATATTTCCGCTGTTGTATATGACTCACTGTGGCCTCTGTTGAATCTGAAACAGGCCTATGAATCATTGAAAGTCTTGTAAAAGTTCAATTGTTTGTGACGCCGAATTGAGATTATTGCAAAAATATAACAACCGGAAGTAGCTGTGTTTAAATGTTTGAAACTACATTTTCTATTAAAATGTGTTGTGTTTGTTTACAAGGTAAGATTATTAATCCAACAAAGAGCAGAATCTTTAATAACGTTTCAACCTGCGCACAGTCATAACTCTCTCTCTCTCTCTCTCTCTCTCTCTCTCTCTCTCTCTAGTTTAATGATGAAACCCTGCGAGGCCTTTACTCACTGACCCTGATCGCTGCTGGTTAATAGATGGCCAAATCGCTTTGCATTAACAAAAACAAAGTAGGGCAGTCTACCGTTGTTCCGTATACCTGAGGTTGACCCCCCCCCCCCCCCCTCCTCCTCGAGGCTCCGGAGACCAGAACCGAGCGGTGCCTCCCGGTCTCCAGCGGAAATGTCCTTCTTCTTAAATTCCTCTGTACGGCTTTGATTTTTCCTGAGATATTCAAGGGACTTTTTTTCTTCTCGGTGTTACAATCAATTTGTTCCAAAGTCATCATCATGTTTCCAGATTATAAATTAATAACCTGGAGGAGGAGAATGGGCCTGTTGCAGCGTGTTACACATTGACCCGATGAATAGTTAACGAAAAAAGAAGATACACAGTTCATTTGATCACAGTGTAGGGACAGACTGTAATTACACAGTTTCCTTTTAAAGCGAAAAGTTCAAGAGTGAATTAACCCGAACTGTTGTTGCACGTTTTCTCATGTACACTGTTTTAATTAGGAGTTGTTTGTATTAAAATACAAACATGTCGTTGAAAAGCAAAGTCCCCTTTCTGTAATGCAACAATGCACACTTTCTATATGACGTGTGAAGCTTTAAGGCTATAGGAGAATGAGCCTGGTGGCCGAATTCTAGCCTTAGATTTGGGGGGTTTGGGGGGGTCAGTGGTGGCAGCTGAAGCGGAAGGTTACAGGGCACATGCACACCAAGGCATCAAAAATAAGAACAAAAAAACCCATTCAAACAGGAAATGCGTGTGTGTAAAAAAAGCTTTAAATGAAATGATGTCATGTTGTTATGTTTTGTTGCAGCCCTCAGGGTCAGTCATGTTTAATTAAAACGAAACGAAACAGGTCAAACAGACCCTAAATGACGTCATCAAAAAAAATCTAAATTTGTCTGTAGTTTGGAAAATGTTTAAAAAGATGTTTTGACCCAAGCTCACCGCCAGTGAGGGCTTTAATCTGATTGGCTGATCTTTATTATTCCTGCTCTTCTGTCACAAATCATGAAAATAATTCGCGTTTGTTTTTCTTCCTGTTTGATTGAACTGAAAACACAGTTTGTGGTTTATGAGGCGCGGAGGAAAAGAGGAACATGTAGACTGATGCTCAGTGTAATGCACGTGCTGCCCTCTAGTGGCCGAATGAGATGCTTTAATTAATTACCTCTTAATTGAAAAGAAAAAGATTGTCATGCGGTTTTACTGGGAGATGATTGACTTACTGAAGAGTTTAATAAAAAATCATAATTATAGTTTAAGTGCCTTAAAAACAAAATGATACTAACAGGTTCGTCATAGTCAGTGACATCATTACTGACCCCTGTGATGCCCATCTCTTTGGGGTCCTGAGAGATCAACAGCGGGGGTCACGAGATGCACCAGGAAGTGAAGCCATGTTGAAACATTGAAAGACAAATTGACTCTGACTCTGGCAAACAGTGTGAAAATATATGACGGTGAAAAAGACATTTGAACAGTTTGAAAATAAGTGAGGTTGTGGGGTGGCTGTAGCCTAGTGGTTAGAGCAAGCACCAAATGTACAGAGGGTGTAGTCCATCATTTCTCGGGTTCGAATCTGACCTGTAGCTCCTTTCCGCACTCTTCTTCTGTCGCTTCCCGATTTCCAACTCTGTCCGCTGTCCCGTCTCTAGAATAAAAAAAAAAGAGGTTATACAAAAAAATGATGGGCTACAAAAGGCCACTGAAGCACCGATCCAGCTGATTCTTACTCAATAAGAGAGTTCAATATCCAGTCCAGAATCACTTTTTATGGGGCGCAGAGCAGAAGCTGTGGCCCTTCAGGCAGGCAGGCGGCCTGGGTTCGGGTCCGACCTCTGACTCCTTTCCTGCACTCTCTCTCTAGATTTCACGCTCTATCCACTGTCCTATCAAATAAAGGCTCAAATAAATCTAAAAAACACTTCCTGCTGCATCTCTTTGACCTGTTGAAAATAAACCCTTCGTCCCCTCACAGTCACCCACCTGCCACCTTTAAAAGCTTCCCTTCTGATTATGAAGGTGCTTATTGCCCCCTGGTGTTTACAAAGAAAACTAAACACAAAAACAGCTTCAAAGAACTGAAGAAAAGTCTCACAAACATGATGATGCTGTTCATGTGAGGCAGCGTCAGGTTTTTGAAGCAATGCTGCCATCTCGTGGCTGAACTGAGGAAGACTTAGAAAACTGTATTTATCCCAGAGAGCAATTCGGTCCCACAGTCCCCCCAGACCATGCATACATTTACAAACAAACAACAGAAGAGTTTATCAGAGACAACAAACAAATCAGTACTTGACAAAGATTAGCACTGATACCAGCCTGTGTGATCTTTTTGGCCAATGACACCCAGAGGGGCCGGATGAGAAGTGCAGTTTAAGGACAACAGTAATAAATAAGTCAATAAATATATAATCAAGACATTCAAGGGGGCACTGCCGTCACATTGAAGACCACAGACCCCGGAAAAAAAGAGGATGTTTATTTAATTTCAGATTTCCTGCAGAGAGTTTCTGGTGTCTTTGACCTCAGTGGGTTTATTCACAGGTCGATGAGCTCTCACTCTCTTACAACATTAAACTGAGAGTCTGATAGAAGTACCTGTCGATGAAGATGCTCCATAGTCAATGGTGATTCTACAATCTGTTGGGGCTTGAGGCAAAAATTAATTAGGGGGCCCTCCAACCAGAATTCATTCCCATCATCTTCCTTTTTTTATAATGTATGCAACACTTAGCGGGCCAACAAGAGTCAATGCTGTCAGAGGGAGGTTTCCTACTGTCATTGCCATCCCTAAAGCCCGTTCTGAATTAG